CGCCGGTATACTTTCGAACATTGCCCAGCTCTTGATGGGTGTCATGACCCTTTTTAGTGCCAACATCAACCACGTCAACCTTGCCGGACTCGAAGTGGTGCGAATTCTTAATGGCGTCGCCAATAACACGGGGGGCACCACCAATAACAATAACTTCAACCGCCGCGCGTCTACGTATTTCCGCGCGGTCCAGACAAACCTGACCTGCGTCCAATACAGCAAGTACATGACCGAACTAGCATACATGGTATTGATGTATGGGCCCAAACCTGCGTCCTCGATAGGGCTCACGGAAATGCTTGACAAGTATACTGACGGCGAGGTTGTGTTGGAGGTCAATGTCCGCGACTACCACAAGTTGTCGGGCTACTCGCACTGTATTAGCGCGGACGAGCGCACGCGGATCTTGGGCTAGAATTTCGGGAACATCTGATTTATTAGTAGTGTATATACCAAATAGTTGGGGTTGAAGTATAGGCCTAAATTGAAGGGGAAATACCATTTGTTGATTTTTGAAGGGAACTGGGATGGTATCTGATAAAGAGAATGGTACCACAAGAAAAACTACGAGACGCAAGATAGCTATAGCATGCGAAGGCTGTCGTCAAAGGAAAAGACGATGTGATGGAGCACAACCAGTGTGCGGTATATGTCGTAAAAGAAATGTTGCGTGTGTCTATAGCAGGAGGTATACAAAAACTTTAGCGAATGCTGAGAATGTCAAGAACTTAGAGGGAAGACTAGGCATATTGCAAGATGATGAATCCAAACCCCTGGGTATGATTCGTTCATCGTCTATTACAAGTAAAAATAACTCCAACAATAATGAATTAGGCAACCAAGATTTGATTACCTGTTCGAGAACAAATTCTCTAAGTGCTTCTCATGATTATCTATATTCTTCAGATTCTCATCAAGGGTCAAACCAAGGGCTGAAAAATCCGAATGCTTCCCCTGTTCAAAACTTTAAAGCAACTTTTCGCTTCAAGAATGAAGATCTGACAAGTGATGCTATGGGGGCAGGTTCTAAAACGGCGCCACATAAAACTGGGGATAAAAGCTTTTACGGCAGATCAGCTGCTATGTCATTAATGGAGGAGCTTTTTGCATCGATTGATGCTGAACCTTTACCTAGCTTTGGGTCGGAATTGATGAAATCAAATACTTATAAGATGAGTAGAAGTGAGAAGGAGAAATCTAGTATTAGCTTGTCTAGAATTGTGGTTCCTCCCAGACGCGTGGCTGATGATTATATTAAGACTTACTTTGAGTTCACATATCCACTCTACCCATTTATTCATAAACCAACATTTATGTCTGCTTATAAAGAGATATGGTCGAGAGATACAAATAATTGCGAATTAGATGAATTATTCTACTGTATTTTAAACATTATATTTGCCTTTGGGTGTCATCTATCACCATTGGAAAAGGATATAGAAGGTAATGAAATGACAAACGTGTACTTTGAGAGATCCCAAGACCTTTTGAAGTTTCATTTAATGGATACTGGATCACTTTTATTAGTTCAAGCATTGTTGTTAACAGGTCAGTTCCTCCAAGCGACGATAAGACTGGAAGGATGTTGGAATATTGTTGGTCTGACAATACGTATTGCACAAGGTTTGGGGCTCCATATGGAAAGGAATACATTATCCCAGAGAAGCTACATCGAGCAGGAAGTAGAGAAGAGATTATGGCATGGATGCCTTTTGATGGACAAGATAGTTTCTCTGACATTCGGAAGGCCTTTGATGGTTGTTGAAGATAACGTATCGGATATGCCTATTTTTATCGATGATGAATATGTTACGGATACCGCTATAAATTATCCTCAGATTGAAAAACCATCTGTTTTGAGTTTTTTTTCCCAAACATTGAAATTATATAATATATTGGCTGATATATTAAAATCTTTTTATTCAGACCCCTTTCCAGAGTACGTGGATCTATTCCCGAACATATTTAGTTTTCAAAAGCGACTCTATGTTTTTCAAGACAAGATTCCGAACCACATCAAGTATGATTGCTCTTTACATGAATCACCTTATCAGCACCAGAGTATAGTGCTTCAAATTAGGTGTCTACATTTGAAGATTATGCTTTATAGGCCTGTTTTGCTTCCGAGAAATAAGGACCAAGTCTATAGCGGAATAAATAATATGGAACTCTACGTATCCACTCGAAGAGCCATATCAAAATTATGCGTCGATTCCGCGATGGAATTAATTGACGTGATTAAAAGGTTTAAATCGACTGAATTAACTTTGCTTCCGTCTAGCTGGTATAACGTCTTTTATATTTACACTGCAGCATTGATTTTGTTAGCCGCAAAACTTCAGCCTGATCTAGAAGATAACTTGGATAAGACAGCTTTTGAATTGTCTTGGACTAATGCCCTTAAATTATTAGCGTCCTATGAGTCACAATCAAAATCCGCGACTCGCTGCTTGAAAGTTCTAGAAGTAATGGACTGTAAGATTAAACTTACTATTGAGAAGCGATCTAAGAAAATGCTTGAGGATCATCAGCCAAATGAAAATGTTTCTACTTCTAGCCAATCGGAGGCTCCGTCGGATTTTCTATATTCTTTGATGTATGACACTGAGGGTCCGTTTGGCAGTCCCTTTTTCTATAATAATAGGTTTGATAGTGCTCTATAAATGCGTGATGATTTGGTCAATACAGTTCATCATTATCTAAAGTATTATTTGGTCTCTGGATGCTTCACAGATGTAAACTGTCTTTCAATTCGAAACTATCAATTCAGAAATGTTTGGTGCACATATACTCTGTCTGAGATTATTATGAACAAGTTCTCTGTTGAAAAGTGAATCTTCAGTATCATTTATGAATGATCCTATTATAGTGCGTAAAATATGCAATCACTCTGTTGTTAACTAAGCGCTTTAAAAATTGATAGATCCATATTGGGCCTTTACTGCGGAGGCGGAGCGTATCCGTCTTTTAGATTGTTAATCGTATAGCACTTTAATTATTTGCGTCTTATGACGTGTTTCACTGAAGATTTCTTAAATACCTTGGACAGTAATACATTATTTTCTCTATTAGTTCTATGAATTTTCTTGGAAAATATATCTCAGAAACGGTGAGAGACACTCAGTACCGTACTTCGCTTTGTTTAGACCTAAGCAAATTCAGATTCCTGATAATATAATCTCTTGCAGGTGAAAAGGACTTGAAGGATATATTATAGAGCAATTTTACCACTAATATTTCTCTTAATCCAAGTCTTGAATACCCTTCATTTTGCTTGAACGTTTAAAATGTTTTTTCTGAATCTTGCCTAAAAAGGTAATTAATAGTATCTAAAGAACATAACATGAAAGGGGTCACTTCAAATTCTGGATGATGCCATACTAAATGTGAAACACTCCTAATTTGTTGCTTATCTGCGTAAGCATGGCCGCGGAAATAATCAAAACCTTTTTTCGAATTACAACGTCGAAAGATCACTCGCGAGGTACAAATTTGTAAACGACCGGTAGCATGTAATCATTGATGATCATAATACGTAGCTCATATGAAAAATATTCTCGATGGATTGGGGGAGAAGTCCAATGAAGATGTAGTAGATAATCAACTTTGCTACGTGACGCAAGTACTCATATATACAAATGAGAAGTAAGATTCGATATAAAATTATAACACATATACACGAAATAGGCCAATTCTTCAAAA